CACTTTTTAGAGGAAGCCAGGCAGAAGCAGATTCTCTCCTCTGGTACATAGAACAGTGATGCCTGTGACCTTTACGTCAGTGGAGGTCCCGGGGATTTGTGAGCGTGAGAGTTTCTGGGCCAGATATTACCTTCAAAACTAGTTCAGCCTCAGACCCCCCACCTGTGGCTTGCAACCTATAGATGAAAGAGGAGACAGTGTGGTCTTTTGAAGAGAGACTAGGCATGACATTGAGGCTCCTGGATTTCACACATCACTTACTCTGTCTCTCTTTTAGTTGCGCTTTTTCCTCTGATGTTCTCTGTGAAGCAGGGAGGCCAAGTGCTCTTGATTTGGGCTGCTTTGGAACACCTGGAGATGGGGTTAGAGCACCCCTTCACCTCTTGGCAGGTGTCCTTCAGGTCTGGTGACCTGGGCCGTTCTCAGTGTGCATTTTGGAATCCAGGTAATGATAACTTAAATTATAACAGTAGAGTCTTAGGACCATCCAAATACGATACCGATTAACCCAACAGGTTAGATTTAGCTTAGCAGACCCCGCCACCTGTGGCTTGCAACCTATAGATGAAAGAGGAGACAGTGTGGTCTCCAATATATGTCGCCAATATACAGCAGGGGCTTCACCTTTGCCTGTGCCATCTTTTGCCGTGCTGGCTGTCACAGATTCATTCCCAGGTGGATGTTTGCTGATTTCTCACTCCCTGTGCAGAGCACTAGACTCAGAGAGAAGGCTGGCACAAGAGATGCAGAAAATCATGGCACCAGTTTGTCCTCAAGGGCTTTATCAAGGAGCTGTGGAGATAGAAGTGTACACATGAGAAGGAATTGGTGACATTTGCCAGTGCCTTGCTGGGTATAGAATGAGGGGTCACTGAATCCTTAGTGTTCAGAGGGAGGAGTGATCACTTCTTGGGATGGTCAGGAAAAGCAGGGGGTTGGATTTGAGCTGGATTTTGAAGGCTGAATAGGATGTGGGGCAGACAGGAAGTATATAAGGAGTAGACCAAGCCAGGCCCAGTGAGAAGGTGGGTCTCTTTGGAGTGGAAAGTTATGACGGGCAGCTGAGCAGAGAGACTAGAGAGACCCGAAGGCCCTGCTTTGTTTGCCCTGAGTGCCAGGTAAGGAGCGTGGGCTTGATTCATGGGACAGCTCTTCCTGCTGTGGCCCAGGGGTTGACCGACGGGGCCGGCCAGGGCCAGTGTTATCCGAGCCAATGGTATTGGTGAGAACATGTTCTCATGGTTTCCTCTCCCGAGCGAACCATCGTTTGTCATTGTCCGTCTTGTGTTCCTGGACGTGAAGACTATTCTGCTCCTAATTACAAGGGTGCAGACAGTAGAGACTTGGGGTTCCAAAGCTCAAGACTTGAACGGGCCATCATTTTTGCAGTGGCCTGGGGTTCCCTGAGTTGAGCACTGGTAGGATTCGGGTTTGGGGAGGCCTCCCAGGTGGTGCAGAGTAAATGAGAAAGGTGCTGCTGGGCCTGCGCAGTCGGGGGAGTGCTGAACACAAAGACCCCCCGTCCCCAGCCCATCTCCTCGCTTCCGGAACCCTTCAGAACCCTCTCAAATGCTTACCCTCATGAAGCCACACCTGATTCCCTCCCCACCAAGGATACTAGTCGTGCTCTTTCTTGCCTGCCCCCTCCTCATTTTTCACTCATCTCACCAGAATTTTTTTCTCTGCTGTGTATGAAAGTCCTTACATACTCTCGTATTTCCTCCCCTTCCCCCGGAGAGAGCCCCTCACAGATGGGGAGTGCCCCTCACAGCCGGAGAGAGCCCCTCACAGATGGGGAGTGCATCCCATAGCCTGACTCTAGAACTGGGAAGAATGCCCTTTCCAATTGCTCAGGAACCGTTTGTGACCTGGAACAGGAGACAGGCGAGGAGGAGGTGGCTCCAGGATGGCCTGTGCTGCTGGCAGGCTGGATCTTCTTTGGGTACCTTGCTAAGGCTTTGTGAATGTCCTCACTCCCGCTCCTGGTGCTGACACATACCAAGCAGAAACATGGTCTGGCTTCCCCGGGGGTGCTGTTGGCAGCCAGAGTACCCAGGCAGGCTTTCCGGGCAGGAGTGCGAGGCACAACTGCTTTCAGTGATTCCCCCATCCTGGACTCCTCAAGAATAAGGAGACACGGGTTCTAGATCTTTGTGGAATTTAAGAAACTTCAGTAGTTTTCATCAAAGGTATTTTAAGCTCAAGCTAGAAACAAGTCATCCTCAGTTCTCAGACTAGTCACAAATTCTTCAGGCAGTGTGAAATCTCAGATCCAACCTCATAGGATTAAAAATATCTCCAGCAGCTGCATTGGCCGGGAATCGAACCCGGGCCTCCCGCGTGGCAGGCGAGAATTCTACCACTGAACCACCAATGCTCCAGCTGTGTGAGCACCTCCCTTTTATCCCAGTCCTGAGCCTCCTTGTTTATATGCTGACTCAAAAATATAAGGCCAGACTCTTGTGCTGCCACATCAGCACAGCTGCAAGAACACAAAGCTTGTGTTCCATATCAGGAAGGAGAAAGCAGGAGGCAGAAGAATGTGTAGTTGATTGGCCTTCAGACTTCAGGACAGAAACTATAGCTCAAGTTTTTCCTTCTCAGTAACAAAAAGCACACTGAGAATTTGGGTGACTCTCTCCCTTCTGTTGTGTGGGTCTTCTCATTCCATATTCACATGTGTGCTGAGCTATTTTACAGTTTTCGCCCCAACTTCTTGCTAGAGACTGGCCAAGGCTGAGGGAACACAGCAGGAGTCCCCCACTGGTGAAGGGCATGAAGACCTTGGTCCCAGCAGCCAGTAGTACCTCTCTGGAGAACCCAGCTGCTATTTGTGAGCTCACCAAGCAAGGAATTGTGGTTAGAGAGTCACAGCCCCCTTGGCTGCTGCAATAGCAGGACGGCTCCTCCAGCAGCATCTCTGTGTGAGGAGGAATCCTGCCAGGAAAAAAAGCAAAGTGGCCAGCACTGCATTGGCCAGGAATCGAACCTGGGCTTCCCACGTGGCGGGCAAGAATTCTACCACTGAACCATCAATGCAACAGTTGTTTTCCTGTTCATCTGCACTGCTTTTCTGAAGGGCATGTATCTGTCCATACTCAAAGAGGAGCCCTGGCAGATGACTGGGCCGCTGAGCCTCACCTGGCTGGTTTGTCCAGTTTGGGAAACCAAACAGATTTATATAGAACCATCCTTGCTGGGCCTTATTATGCTACTTTGGAAGTGAGGGCCTTTGGAACTGGCACCGAGGCCCTTGGTTCGTCCACAGCCCTCAGCCCCCTGGGGTGGGCTTGGTGGAATCATCCTGTAAAGTCAAAGATTAAAGCACATCACAGGCCATTTGTTCAGCTGCTTCCTAAAATGCGTGTCTTAGCTCCCACATCTGCCATCTTAGGAGCCAGGCCTGTTTTGTTCACCTGTTTGCACAGTGCCTGGCACAGAAACCCCATGTGGTTTGCCGTATTAAATATTTATCAAACCCTGTCCAACCCCTCATAGAACAGCCTTTTTGCAGGAGTGCTCACTGCCTCATAGGGCAGCACATTTATGTTTGAACAGCTCTAGTATAGCAGGTTCCTGACACTGACCTAGAACCACACAGACTAAATGATTCCTTTTGGACTTGACTGTCCTTAAAATTCTTCAAGTCAACTTGAAACCTCCATTTATGCAACAGGCAAGCAGCGTACCGGCCATGATAGACACAAAGCAGTTAGACAGTGAGTCTACACACTGCTGCGAAAAGTCCCTAATCTGGAGCCCACCCTCATCACACCTTCATCTGCTGCACTGGTACCAGCCCCTCATGCCCGGATAATGGGATGGTCAAAATTCCCGAAGGGCAGAGTGTCTCAGCCTCTCTGTCCACTGGGCTCTGAAAACAGACACTGGTCCCTGACAGAACCGGGCCGTCCTTTACTCTCCACCACTCCAGGCAGGGCCTGCCCTGGGAGCATCCCGGGGGTGATCCCAGACATGGCCTCCCTCAGATGTCCTTCCCCCGTTAGCATCACTCTCCATGTAGACACCTCAGGCGTATCTGTGCTTCCTTTCCTCTCCCCATTACCTGGGCTTCTAAGGTTTTTTTGTTCAACAGGCCCTTCCTGCTCTTTGCCATGGCCTCAGCCATACATCAGGCCCTCCTTCCTGCCCCTGATAGCTGTGGTGTTCTCCTGCGGGGCTTTTTCCGTTTTCTTCGGTCCTGCCAGCGCCCCCGACCCAGCCCAGCCTCTCCAGGCCGCCACCAGAAGTACCTGTTACCTCACTGGAAAACTTTCACAGGATTTTTTCCTTTAACTGTCTCTAGTCATTCCTTCTACACACCAGACTCCTCCTCCTCCTCTAAATATGCCATGTCTTCTCAGAGCTCCTTGGCCAGGCTCTTCCCTGTGCCTGCGTGCCATGCCCCGCCTTCTTTGTTCTTCGCCTGAAAAATGCCTGCTGATCTTTCTAAGATCCGACTCAAACGACACTTCCCAGTCAGCCCGAGGAGATTAGTCTATGGCATTTTTCTTGCTTCTGTCACTTGCGCCTTGTTGCTGCAATTACATACTTGTGTGTGGATCTTGCTCGTTGAACTGGGGCCTGATTCAGCACCATCCCTGGAAATAAGGACACAGACCTAGTGAACCTCTTAGGTGCTCAAATGGAGGGTTGAACGAGTGTTGAATGAAGATGGCTGATCGACTGATGACGCATTGTAGTTTTTGTTCCCCAATAGGTTGTTCTCTTGAATTCTGTCCGTTTCTCAGAATTGAGATAGTTCCATTGTTACTCATTCCATTGTACGCAAAGGGAAACTGAGATCCAGAATAGGGAAACAGCTGTGACCCAGCCCAGGCCTCCCCGTCAGCAGCAGAACTGGGAAGCCTACCCTGAGATGCCTGATCCCTACTTCTCTTTCAAACAAGTCATCTTCCTCCCCGCTCCAGGCCCTGGAGCCAGCAGCAGGGGTCCCGTGATTCCACTGGTCCTACAGCCCCCCTCCTTTCTCTCTCCAGGCTGGTTCGGGAGTTCGTGGCCCAGAACAACACAGTGCAAATCAAGCATGTGATCCAGACTCTGTCTCAGGAATTTGCCCTGTCTCAGCACCCCCACAGCCGGAAAGGGGGCCTCATCGGCCTGGCCGCCTGTTCCATCGCACTGGGCAAGGTGGGCCTGGAGGGACAGACACAGCAGCGATGGCCTTGACTCGGATCTGAGACCCAGCAGGATGTTGCATGCCTATATTTTATTGCTGTTGTCGCCACACCTGACGTAGCAAGGTCTTGCAGCCTTGTTCCCTGGCGTGGCCCCTGTCCTAGGAGGCCAGCCTGCAAGGGTCTTTAAACCTAGCCCCACACAGAGGCCTCAGGCCTCCCAAGGGAGCTGGGATGTCACCTGGCACCGGGAGCTGGGGGCTGGCCTCCTTTGAGCTGTTTTTCCTCCTGCCCCACCACAGGACTCGGGCCTCTACCTGAAGGAGTTGATCGAGCCGGTGCTGGCCTGCTTCAATGACGCGGACAGCAGGCTGCGCTACTACGCCTGTGAGGCCCTCTACAACATCGTCAAGGTGGCCCGGGGCGCCGTGCTCCCCCACTTCAACGTGCTCTTTGACGGGCTGAGTAAGGTGACCACTCCTCACCGTAGCGGGGCTGAGCTCACTCCACCACCTAACTTGACCTTCCAGGACCTCGAGTGCTTGGGTCCCTTTTCCTAGATGCAGACAGGCCGATAAACACACGGCTGCCAGGGGCACCGGTTGTCTGTTCAATCTAATCATTTTTTTTAATGGGCTTATATTTACATTTTTTTCCATTTCTCTATTAATTTATCCTCATTGCATTTTAGGAAAGTATCAGTCTACCACAAATTGGAGGGAAAAAACTAACAGTTTGAAACACACTAACCTCCCTTGTAGAAGGTCAAGATAGTAAAGCCATATACAGACCGTATTTCCCCTGCGAGGAGAGCATTAGCCCGTAAGATCTGAAAGAAACTCCCCTTAGAAAGGCTTTGGAGTCCCTAGCACCTGCCTCGGCTCCTCTCTCAGCTCCTTGTAGCTCCCTGCCCAGGCACCGAGCCTCCTGAAGCTCTATTGCCCTGCTCATTGCCACAGTTGTTTCTAGAGTATCAGCGTCACAGCTGCCTTGGTCCCCTCCTTCAGGAGTGGAGAGAGGACCAGCATTCTAAGATTGGAAACCCCTGAGGAAGGCCAGTGATATGTAACTATCCGACCCGGTGGCAGCAGGTCACAGGGCCCCCAGCGGGTCCCAGAGGTCCCTGACCAGAATAGGGAAGTCCACTACATCTCACTTCTTGGCCAGGTTCCATTTTGCCCACCCCCACTTCCCTACCTTCCTTCGACTTATTTACTGAAAGAAGTGTGCATTCAGTGTTCCAAGCTGCACCAGAGCCTTGGCTGTGGGTTTTCAGTAGATTCCTTGTCTTGAATCTTGACCTTGACCATCTCTCTCCCTCTATGTGTCTCGTAGTTGGCTGCTGACCCAGACCCCAATGTGAAAAGTGGATCTGAGCTCCTAGACCGCCTTTTAAAGGTATTTGTACTTGGTCCCCACTTTTCTTTTTAGAATCTGTTTCTTGCATCTGTCCGTACAGTTTATAAATTCTGTCATTGGGGATGCTCTTTGTAATTTGTTTATTTAAAATTTTCCATTTACCCACAATAAAATTGACTCTTTGGCGGACAGTTCTGTGACGAGTATATAGTATATAGCAGCAGCACAATCAAAATGCAGGACTGTTCTATCACCCCTGTACATACCTTGTGCCACCCCCACCCAGGGCAGAGGAGACTGCCTGTGGCCTCCCACGCCACCTTGCCCCCGACAGGAGACTGCTTATGCTGAGCTCACAAGGGTATTCAATCCAGATCGCAGAGACACAAGATTACTCATTTGATTAGTTCTCTTGGCTTTGATTCCTGCTTTGAATGGAATCAGTTTTGCTTATCCTCTGGCCTGGGAGACAGTGGATGCTCTGAGGACCTCTCCTGCCTGGCTTAGGCTCTGCCATTTTTCTCTGACTGCCTGACTCCCAGAGCCAGCCCTGAACCAGTACTTAAGCCAGGTCAGGCAGCCCCTGGTCACTAGCTGTCACTCAGCAGTTCACGTGCCTTTGATTCGCAGGACATCGTGACGGAGAGCAACAAGTTTGACCTGGTGGGCTTCATTCCCTTGTTGCGGGAGAGGATTTACTCCAACAACCAGTACGCCCGGCAGTTCATCATCTCCTGGGTGAGGACTTGGCCCCACACGTTTCCCAGCCGTGATGAGCCTCTGGTTTAGTGACAGCTGCTCTCTGACACACCCCGGGCAGATCCTGTGGCTGCAGAGAAGCCTCACTGTTATCCCTCTGAAGCCAGTGACTCCAGATAATCTGAAAACACATTTGTTCAGCTCGGCCCCCAGACCCATTATACCTGCGCCTGACGAGGATTCAATTCTTTCTTTTTCCTGGGAAACCCAATTCCCTTTTGAAGCCAATAGTGCTACTTCTGGCAGTCACACCTCTTCTTACCTTGTCTGTCCTTTCCCATGTACTGCTTTTGCCCTAGGTATCTCAATTTCCTGCAGTTAAATTACTATTCCTCTGCACTAGCAATAGCTGCTAGCACCCCTCTTGCCATGGGACACCCGCAGCACCATAAAACGCTGCCTCAGCAGGTCCCCCTTCCCACTGCCCAGTCCCAAAGGATTGGTGAAGAGACAAAGGTTCTCAGGCTGGTGTAACTTTCTCTCCTGGTTTCTTCCCCTGGGTCAGATCCTGGTTCTGGAGTCTGTGCCAGACATTAACCTGCTGGATTATTTGCCAGAGATCCTGGATGGACTCTTCCAGATCCTGGGTGACAATGGCAAAGAAATTCGGAAAATGTGAGTAGATAGAAGGGGTAGGCAGCTGCCACCGTCCAGGGCCCTGCAGTGCGCACACATGCCCCACACCGACAGACGGGCAGCAGCAGGAGAACGAGAAGTTCCCCCTTTTCTTCCTGGCTCACATGCTTCCGGCTATGAGGAGCTAAGAGCTCATCAGCCCCCAGCCTCTGAAACATGTCATCTGACAGTTCAAAGTGTGGTCCGCCTTTGGGTGGCTGCCCCAGAGCAAAAATGGGCACTGATAGAGGCTCCTTCAGCCCTGGCTGACATATGCTATTTGCCTTCTTCTCTCATTGACAGGTGTGAGGTGGTCCTTGGCGAATTCTTGAAAGAAATTAAGAAGAACCCTTCCAGTGTTAAGTTTGCTGAGATGGCCAACATCCTGGTGATCCACTGTCAGACCACGGGTGAGTGTGTAAAGACTCCATGGCCACTGCCACCTCCTCAGAAGCTCCTTTCTGTCTCTGGAGGAGTCCTAGTAGGAGTGTGAACCAGTGTGACACTGGAACCTGGAGCAATGGAGTGGTGGGTTCTTGTGTGAGAGAGATTCAGAATCTCTTTTATCGTGGAAGCCTTTTTACTTGGTATGACCCTGGAGGGGAGTAAGATCTGGAGACCGTCTTGGTGGCGGCAAGCCCAGTATTTGCACTGTGAATTGAAATGCTTGGAGGTTGAGATTGTGTATCCATTAACTTGTGTTGAGTATCCAACCACCTCAAAACGTAATTGCTTGACACAGTAGTCGCTTACTATTGGTCATGAGTCTGCGGGTCAGCTGGGCCAGGCTTGGCTGGGCTTGATCACACACTACGGTCAACTGTGGGGTCTCCTGAAGCTGGATGGTCTAGGATGGCCTCGCTCATGTTTGGCAGTTGGCCGGCTGTCACCTGGGGCAACAGGGACAATTGGTCCATGTGTGTTATCATCAGCAGGCCAGCCCAGGTGCATTCATATGCATCAATCACCTGGGGCAACAGGGACAATTGGTCCATGTGTCTTATCAGCAGGCCAGCCCAGGTGCATTCATATGCATCAGCAAGGTCCCAAGAGACACAGTAGGTCTAGGCTTGAACCAGGAACACCATTACTTCTACCACCTTCTGGTGGCCAAAGTGGCAGGGCCAGGCCAAGGTCAAGAAGTGAGAAAATAGACTTCACCCCATGATGAGAGGAGCTGCAGAGCCCCGTTGCAGAGGACTTGGACGCAGGGAGGGGTAGGGAATCATGGCTGCTCTTACAGTCTGCCACGGACTGTTGTTCTGCTCCAGCCTGACACTGTATGTACCTTTGGGAGACAAATAGCAAGGGCGAGAGAGCATTGATGAGGCGAGAAGCGACGCAAGCCCTCGGGTGCCCCCAGACCCATCCTGAGGGTGGAAACACTGCAGCTGCTCATGCCGACCCTCCTAGAAGCCACCACTTTTCCTTCCAGACGACCTGATCCAACTGACAGCCATGTGCTGGATGCGCGAGTTCATCCAGCTGGCTGGCCGGGTGATGCTGCCCTACTCTTCTGGGATCCTCACCGCCGTCTTGCCCTGTCTGGCCTACGACGACCGCAAGAAAAGTATCCTTCCCTCGGGAGAAAAACAAGAACAGCCTCAAAGGGGCCTGAGAAGTCATGGGACCCTGGAGTGGGCGATGGGGCGCCCTTAGGACCCATCACACCTCTAGATAGGCCCTGGAGGTGGAGCTGAACACAGACTGTGACTGCCAGGGTAGTGACAGAGACACAGAGCTAATGCCACTGTCCTCAAACCTTATCTTGTTACTTAAAATTCTGGTGTGGCTCTCCCAGGTCCCACAGTTCCAACCTCCTGAGCTCACACTGCCCCACCTTGGGTGAGGGAAATTCTGTCGGTGGGAGGTCCACTAGAAAGGAGCCCTACAAGAGGGCGCAGGAGCGTCTTGAGGGGACAGCAGTGTGCCAGGCAGACGGGGACTCAGTTCAGACTTGTACTTTTGTGAAGGACTGAGCCCCTGACCAGTGCCAGTGGCCTTGGTTTTAGGGAAGACCCGTGGGTGGGACTGCTCCTTACATCAGTGGACTCAGGCATCAAGGAGGTGGCCAACGTGTGCAACCAGAGCCTGATGAAGCTCGTCACCCCCGAGGATGATGAACCTGACGAGCCGAAGCCAGCGGTGCAGAGACATGCGGACCCCAACCCCGATGACTCGCTAGCAAAGCAGGAGGGGACAGGCAGTGGTGAGTAGGCTCTGCCTCCTGTCTTTCACGTCTCGGGGAGGGCACCAGGGAACCAGAGGTCATAGCTGACTTGGGATCACTAACCAGAAGGACTACTTTCCACAGGTTAACTAATGTAGTTCTGATGACGACCCAGTAAGGGACTGTTATTATCCTATAGAAGAGCACAGGAAATAGGTGGCACACCAGACCAGGATCTGGCAACCACTCAGGGGCGGGGCTGGGATTTGAAGCCTGGCAGTCTGTCTCCAGAACCCATGCTCTTACCCCTTACTGCCGCAGAGACTGCTATTAGACCCGCTATTCCTTTTCTTAATCTTTTTCTGACCTAACTTACAAGAAATGGTTGTTTTCAGTATAGGAAGCTTTGGAGCACAGCAAGATTATAGGTTCCAGAATTCACTTGAATCTTGGCCATAGACATCCAGCCACCCAGAAGCTGGCTGGCTTTACTATGCCAGCCATTCTCAGGAAGGGAGGATTAAGAAAGCTCCAGCGGCAGTTTATTAGTCCTTGGGAATCCTGCTGTCAAAATCAAGTGTCTTTAGATTATGAAATGGCTCTACTCTCCTTTCAGACTCCTTATTGTCTGATTTATCTGTAACGGGAAGAAAACCACTTTTATGCTGATTAGAGTTTGACTCTCTAAATGTTACCTACATCTCTGACTCTTTCTGTTTTCATCTTTTGCACCTCTGTCCTCATTGAGACATCACTGACCAATATTGGGGTGATGTGCTCCTTTGCAGTTAAGTCAGAGAGTGCATTGATACAGAACCTACTCAGATCTTCAAGACTAACAGGCTAAGGTCTGGAACTTTACCCCAGGAGCTGGAAGAATTTCTAAAGCATTTTCTCCCATTGCCGTCTTAGGCTTTTCTTTTGAACATCTGAGCAGAGTGTCAGGCACACATGCCCCACAGGTCTCCTCCCATGGGTTTGGCATGCTGGATCGTTTCGGTGTCTGGTTACGGTTGTGCCATCACCACTGTGAGCCTGAGCAGCAAAACAGCTGGAGGCAGAACAGCACTCAGCTGGAGCATTGGTGGTTCAGTGGTAGAATTCTCGCCTGCCACGCGGGAGGCCCGGGTTCGATTCCCGGCCAATGCAGCAGCTGGAACCTTTTTGGCAACTCCTTGAAAAAAGAAAATTTGGGAAATAAGTTAGTGGGGGCCTCCCAAGGTTGGAGCTTTCTTACTAGGAGGTACTAGAAGAATCTTGGACATAGACATATTTTGCTAACTTTCACTGATATATGAGTATTTTATCTTTTTATTTTTTGATTCTCATTTTAGAAAATTTAGAAAGAGAAAAATATATAAAGAACAAGACTATTCCCACAAGAGGCAATCAGTATTATAGTTTCGGCAAATTTTTTCCAGTATATCTGTATTTGAGATCATACAACTTATATAACTTCACATTTCTGCTTTTTTTGCTTGAGTGATAGGTCTTTTTGCTGGGGGCAGGGTTGGGTTGCTTTTGCTTTGTTTTTGGCTTGACAAGTAACAACGTGTAGAAGTTTGGAATATTTTATACTGAATTAAAAATTTAGTGCCTCTTAATCCATAGTTAGAAAGTAGAATAATGGTTGCTGAGCGGGAGGGAAGGGGAGTTGGGACCAACTGCTAACAGATACCTGGTTTCTTTTTGGGGTGATGGAAATATCCTGGAATTAAATAATTCTTTGCACAACTTTGTGAATATAGGAAAAAATCACCCACTTATATGCTTTACAACAGTAAACTTTGTGTCAGGAAATTTTATGTTATATGAATTATATCTCAATTTTTTTAAGAAAAGTTAGAGCCTCTTCCTCCATAGCGGAACCTGACAGCCCCTGCCCCATTCTTTCTGCTTATGTGGCAGCACATCAGGCCCTCTGGAAAGGAACTGCTGTATTCTGTCGATCAAGGCAACTGCTGAAAACCAGCTGGAGCATTGGTGGTTCCATGGTGGAATTCTCACCTGCCACCTGGGAGGCCTGGGTTCTATTCCTGGCCACGCTAGTGTATTTACTTAACTTTTTTTTTTTTTTAGGTGAGGCAACCCTTGGTCGACCTCACAGATTGCAAGGACCTTGTTAGCTTACAGTTCCTTTTTTTTTATTTTTTATGCCTACATTTACTTAACTTTTTAGATAGTCTTTTTTAGCTTCCTTGAAACAGCTCCCAGCTCAGGAGAATCTTATCCTAAACCAAGATACATGCAGGCAGCTTGGCTCCAGATTTTATTGCCTCATAAACAGCATTTCAGCAGACACAAAGCTCACTTTATAGTAGTTCCCAGAGATGGCAACAGCTAATTTGGGGGCTCCACATCTACTCCAGACCCGCTCAGCTTATACCTAACTACCACTTTACCAGAGTGCCAGGAAAAGGTGCCAGCAAGCCAAGAGAGTGATGATTTAGCTAGTCAGTCGACAGATTCGTCCCAGCCTCTCCTGCTTACTCTTATCATTACTCTGTTCCACTCTTCCAGCCCAGGTCCACCTGGCGAAGGCAGGCGCCTCCTGCCTGCTCTCCCTCACCTAGCGTCTCCCTCCGCGATTCAACCTATGTTGCTGCACCCCACAACACAGATGTTCTTCACCCGCACCTGTGGGCCAGACCTACAAGGAGGCTAGTCAGCCATGCCCTCTTTGCACGAGCACACACTCACACACACGAGCGCTTCCCCCTTGACTGTCACACGGGGCTCCAGACACGGTCGATGCGCATTTGTGCCGTGCTGCTTGCCCCTTTCCGCTTATTCTGACCCTCACTCAGCCCTGCTACTTGCCTGTGTTGCTGCACCCCACAACACAGACGTTCTTCACCCGCACCTGTGGGCCAGACCTGTGAGGAGGCTGGTCAGCCATGCCCTCTTTGCACGAGCACACGCTCCCACACACGGGTGCTTCCCCCTTGACTGTCACACGGGGCTCCAGACAAGGCCGATGCGCATTTGTGCCGTGCTGCTCACCGCTCTCCGCTTATTCTGACCCTCACTCAGCCCTGCTACTTGTGGGGGTCCACAGCGCAGTGTCCTTTGTCTGACTCTGAGTTCCTGCAGCACGCCGTATGTCCTTCCTGTTCCTCTCTGTGACATTCCCTGATTGTCCCAGGTGTCGTGGCCTAGATCCTGGGGTCAAAACCACCTGCCTGTGAGTCCTGGCCCTGCTAACTTCATACCTTTTGCTCTTGGACAAGCCACATGGCCTTTCTAAGCCTGAGGTTCCTTATTTGTTAAATAGGGCAGCAATAATAATACCTCTTAGTGTGGTTGTGAGTTTCAAACAAGATTTGTGACGTAAAGCTCTTATTGCATGGCATAGGCCTGCCTCAGTACAGGTGCTTTAGTGTCAAGTTGTTTTAATAGATGTTTATAAGATACTCATCTGTTTAGCAAGATTCTCAGGGGCAGGGCTTTTGCTCCCTTGTTTTTCTCACCAGCACTGTCCAGGAATCAAAGAGGGTCAGGGATGGAAGTTCTTGTGGCAGGTGAGGAGCAGAGCTACAAGTAGGGTCTCCAGTGGAGGGCCGGTGACCTATCAGTGAACACGTAGTAGACTCCATCTATTTGCAAAGCTTCGATGGGACCGGGCATATCAGCAGCTTCTGTGGACACCGCAGGTGCAGATGAATCAGACCCAGGACCTGCCAGCGAGCAGCTCAGGCAGGGATATCCGGATGAGTGATCACGTGACACTGGGTGTGGTCACAGAGGCTCAGGCCACCAGGCCGGGCTTCGTGGAGGTTATTTGAACGGGAGCTTTTCTTTCTTTTTAGCTTCCACTCTCCCCTCGCCCCACTCACGTCATTAATTCTGATTATAAAAGGAGTAGAGATTTTGGAAAAAAACAGACATTCCTACTGGCAAAGAATAAACAAATTAAATACATTGTCTGGTCAGTATATTTAGCAGCACATATCAAAAGAATTTTTCCTTAGGAAATAAACATAGTTGTAGGTAAGGTGCTTTGTTTTAAACACCTAACAAATGGTAGCTCATTTATTGCCATAACAAGCCTGTGGTGAGAGGGTCGGCACTATCGTGACCCCCCCCATAGTGGGGAGGAAGTAGAGTTGAAGTCAGGTAACCTGCCCAGGGGTCACACAGCTAGTAAGTAGGGGAGTCAGGGCTCATACCCGGGCCCAGGGGCCCCAGAATCTCTGTTCAGCGCCGTGTAGACCGCGATGCTCTAAAGAGGGAATTCATGCAAAAGAGCAACCAGTGATGCTCAGCTTGACTGGGAATCTGAGAATTGCAAAGGAAAACAATGTATGATTTTTATTCATCAACTTGGCAAACATGTGAAAGATTACTAATATCCCTTTGGAGACTTTAAGGGGATGACTGTGCCTCCGTTCTTCAGTATATATTGGTAGCGCCTCCCTGCAGGGCAACTTGGCATTATCTATTAAAGTATCAGATGCCTGATCCCTCCACTCGGCAGCCCAGTGTACATGGGATCCTGGAGCGGAACAAGGAAGCATGGGGGAGATGTAAGTGAAATTAGGAAACAGTCGAAATTAATTTGAAGCTAATTTTCGACATCGCCTTATTTCATCTATGAATGTGTGTGTTTCTGAAAAACTAGAGGGCGGGAGCCCACCGGGGGCATGGACCCCTAGCTGCTGGTCCAGACCGGCCTGCCCAGGCTCCCCCACATGTCTTCCTCCCCTTTCCCCAGGCCTGTTCCAGCGGACATGGGGCTGCTCAGCAGACCCAGCTGGCACCCACAGCTCTTTCTGCCCCCACCAAGCTGTGCCCATTCCCCGAAGGGTCTCTGGGACTCAAGGTGACAGGCGGCAGCTCAACGTGGAAATAAAGGTCCCCTTACTAGCATGTTGGTGGGGAAGCTCCATGCTCCACACTTGGAATAGCACTGCCCTAAGACGTAGTACAAAGGGAAGAAAAGCAAGGAACCAAAGATACTCTCTGATTCCATTTATGTTTGCAAAACAGAAAGTAGGATTCGCAAAGACAAGAGGGCACTGGCCTAACTGGTAGTTACCAGCACATAGAGCGAAGTGAGATCAGAGGTTAAGGAGAAAAGGGGATTTGGTTTGGGTTTTTTTTTTAGAGTTTTTAGAATAAGAAAATGTTTTCCTTGTATAATTTTTAACTTTTTTAAGAGGCCAAGGCTGGTGCCATTTGAGCAACTATATAAATAATGATAGTTTTAATTTGTAACCCACAGAATAAATAAATATCTGTGGATCCATAATGATATAAATGAATGGATGGGTAGATAATTCGATAAATGGTGGGGAAGAGACAGCTCTTCCTTATAGAAGAATCTAGTTAGTAAATGTAAAAGGAAAAAAGAAAATAGAAAATTACCAGTAGGCACACACCACAATAATTAATACTTGTTGTAGGCAGGACCCACTGATGGGTGCTAAAATTAGTGAGGGCATGTTTGAGGAAAAAACGGATATTTGTCTAATCTCAAGTATCTTCCCTAAGATATTAACTACAAAAAGAAAAAGAGTCGCTTCGTAGGGTAGAAATCCAGCAGACACTACCATAATCAGGTGATGAGGCTGACTGACGTCACCAGTAATGAGACAAAGAGGCATCGAATTCCCCTGATACTGTGCACGGAGAAGGCGCATCACTTCGGTGGTGATATTCTTCCAAAAATGCATAACCTCAACCTACTCGTGAGAAAACATGAGACAAACCCAAATCGAGACATTCTACACAGCGACTGACCAGGGCTTAAAAAGTATAAAGTTCAGGAAAGATACAGAAGAATCGAGGAACTGTCACAGACAGGACAGCTAGATGCAATGTGAAGTCCCAGTGTCAATCCTGAAACACAGGACGTGCGGAAAAATGGTCAAATTCAAATTAAGTTTGCGGTTTGGTTAACGGCATTACACCAGTGCTACTTCCCTGGCTTGAGAATTGAACAGTGGGTCTCTGTAATGTTAACATCAGGGCAGATGAACAAAGGATATACAGAGAAGTCTATTGTTTTTGCAACTTTTCTGTAAATCTAAATTTCCAAAATAAAAAGTTTTGGTTTTTTTTTTTACCTTAAGAAAATAGCCATCTCTTCTAGCCCTCAGCAACCTCTCACCTTCTTTATATCTCTATAGATCTGCCTATTCTGGACATTCCATATAAATGGAATCCTACAATATGAAATCCTTTGCAACTGGTTTCTTTCCTTTAGCTCGATGATTTCCAGATTCATCCCTGTTGTAGCACGTATCAGTCCATCGTTCCTTTTTATGGCCAAATAACAGTGCACCGTATGGCCGTAACATTTGTTTATCCATTCATCGGTTGATAGATTTGGATGTGTACACTTTTTAGTATTGTAAATAATGCCACTGTGAACATGCTGTACAAGTTTTGGTGCAGACATAAGTTTTCCTTTCTCTTGGGTATACGCCTGGAAGTGGAATTGCTGGATCATCTGGTAATTCTATTTAGCCTTTTCGGGAACTGCCAGACTGTTTTCAACAGCAAGTGCACCATTTTACAATCCCACCAGCAATGTCTAAGGCTCCCAGTTTCTCCACATCCTCACCTCCTCTTGTTATTATTATGTCTTTTTTATTTCCGCTATCCTAGTGGGTGCGAAATGGTATCTCATTGCAGATTTGATTTCGATTACCCTGACGGCTAATGATGTTGAATATCCCAGAAGTCATTTTTAACATCCATTGCCCTTGGCTCCACAGTCCCTTCTGAGATTTCCCAGATGTGTTCGGCATCAGTGTCCCTCCTTGTGAGATCACCGTGCCTAAAAACTTACTATCCCAAAAGCTTTGGGGAATGAGTAGGCATCGGGTCCTCAGGGCTCCAAAACCACATTTCTTTTCAAGGACCGGAATCAAGGTGCGGGGGACCAGTTCGTTGTGTTTTTATAACGGGCATCTTGTTCATTCAAAAGACCCCACCAGCCTTTAGCGTGATGCGTTATTCCTCTTACTCTCCCCAGGAGGCCCTGATGGTGCTTGTGACTCCAGCTTCAGCAGTGGCGTTAGTGTCTCCTCTCCAGCCAGGTAAGTGGTTCGGTCTGGCCAGAGGTGTTTGTGGTGAGCCAGCAGCCTAGATCTTTCCAGGGGGTACAGGAAACAGCAGCAAAGACCTGAGGCGAACGCTGCTTGGGGTCACAGGAGATGCCTGATGAGAGGATCTGAGGGACCCTGAGCAAGCCCACCTTGCCTTTGGGGCGTGCGGGATTGGAGGGGTCATAAGCTACTGGAGGTCAGTAAATACAAATTGTAAAAGTCTAACATGATTACTACAGTGAGACGTAATTACAGACACCTTTTCCCGGCACCTTTTGCTTGTCCAGGATGACGTGGGCTGACAAGACTCTCAAGGTGAAGGCTGTTCGAGGACAGTCCTGGTTACGGGCAGTAATGAATTGAGCGGAGAGTGCGAGGACTTTGTTTTGGCAGCTGAAACTGTCCTCTCTCTCCCTGGCGCCCAGGTCGGCTGTAATAGCGCAGCCATCCACAGCGGGGCAGTGCAGGCCAAGCATCGAAATAATTCCTTTCCTTGCCAGCCCCCTCCATGCTGTGCAAAGTGATGGCATTTCCCTTGGGAGGGAATCGTCATCATGCTGTCCTTGTCTGGGCCCTGAACTTGGCCCACATTGCTTTTTCTTTGGGCAGAATCGGCACCTGTGGGGCTGCAGTGGATGGCAGCTCTCCAACAAGGAGTTTCTTGTTTTGAACCCCCTGGGGAACCAGTCACTCGTGAAAGGAAAATACACTCAACCCCAAGAGGCTCTCTTCTCCCCAGACCCTTAGGATCTTCCCTCCTTTTATATTGTTTTTTAAATTTATTCTTATCTCTAAGCCCTGTACATGTTTTCAAAGTATGCAAGTACTGATTAGAATGGATTACTCCTAGGACCACTCGCAAATTGTTCGAGCAAGCCAGTAAACGGTCACTTAAACGTTTCCAGTTGTCACACACTCCAGACCACCTGCCCGTGGTCAACCCTACACAAGATAAAGACGTCATCCCTGACCTTGAGGTTCCGTAGTGGAGAGGCAGAGAAGTAACCAGAAAGTTACTGGAAAGGGTAGTGATTGCTGTGATGGGAGACTCAGAAGCGTTGGGACAGGCGATGGTGCCTGAGCCGAGGCTGGAATAGTGGCCGACAGTGATGAATACTCAGCAGGCGGGTGCTTGCTAGGCCCTTGCTGTACCAGGTACTTTGTGTCGCTTCATTAGATCTTGTTAATGTTTAAATCTCACGGGGTCAGTATCTCCATTTTAGAGCTGAGGAGGGACAGGAAATCAGGGGGCCGCTGTGCAGAAAACAGATTTAGGAGAGACTCAGGTGGATTAAGATCAATAAGAAGGGATGGAGGTTCAGATTGAAGAGGTGGCAAAATAGGGAGGAAGCCGAATAGATTTGAGATCTGTTTTGAAAATACAGTTGATGATTTGCCGATGAATAGGATGGAATAAAAGGAGAGAAATGAAGGAAAAAATAATTTCTAGATTTTTGGCTTGAGCCAAGTCAGGATGTCCCGGTATCATTTCCCAGGCTGGGGTGGAAAGGGACAGGCGTGTGAGTGGGCCGGTCAGGAGCTCTATTTGAAGTTCCTAAGAGCAGTTAAGGGGGCAGGTTTGAGTAGTGGAATCTGGAACCTGGGGAGAGGTCTGGACAGAGATGCAGGGAGACTGGTATGTCCTTCAGGGATGTGCTTCTGTTCTAAAGGCTGTGAGAGCCGGCGTTACAGGCGGGAGTGACAGAGCAGACCTGTGATTTAGAAGACCCTCTGGCAGCCCTGGAGAGGATGGTGAAGGGAGGGGGACAGAATCCGCAGTGGAAAAGCCTGTTGCAGACTCGTCACCATAATCTAGGCTACGGGGGATTGTCCTGCTCCGTGGCAGTGGCAGTGGGAGGTGGGGGAGGTCCAGGAGGAGGCAGAGATCCGGACATAACTGAGTGGGGTCCTCTACCCACTGGAGGTGGCAGCTGAGGACAGTGGGACGGGGCGCCGGCTTCCTTTAGTTGGTGCCGCCAGAAGAGGACTGAGCTTGGGCAGGATGGCATCTTCCAGGGTCACCAAGAAAGAAAGCCCACTCTGCAATTTCCAGGTGTGCTGCTTGCTCAGGGCACTGCCTACAGTTGCCAGTTACACTCAGTTCAGGCCAGTCAAGGGCAACAGCTGGATTGGGGCTCCTCTGATCGCAGAAAAGCGTCCCTCCCTGGCAGAAAAGTACCAGCAATGGTGAGGCTTCTGAGCCTCTTGGTGGTCTCTGACCCTTGGAGAGTCTGATGAGAGCTGTGGACGCTCGTCCTAGAAAAATGCAAATATACAACAAAATTCAGAATATGCTTTCAGGGGTTCAGGGATCTCAGAGCTAATCCTTGCATCCCAGGTTTTTCTTTCTAATTCCTCACTTGGACCTCAACACAGAGAGAATAACTGACTAAACCCAGGAGCATCAGCTGCTTCTCCCTCTCTCTTCCCTCTTCTTTCCCAGACGTCAAGGGAGCTCCAGGTGGCCCCAGGTTAACAGTAGCCACAGGGGTGACTACTGAATAAGCAGGGGGTGACAAGATCCCTGAAGGCCTGGGGTGACATCCAAGGTGGGGTTCCAGTTGGAGGAGTCTGGGTTTTTCCACCCTCCAGGGTGTTGAAAGCGAGACTCCCTGGGAAGGAGTGGCAAGAGGAATGGAGGACGCATGCTCTCGGGTAAGAAAGGGTTAGGAGGAATAGTCTCCACCTCTCCCCTCCCTCCTCTCCTTCCCTCCCCTTCTCCCCTCCTTTCCCTTCCTCCCTCTCTCCCTCTCTCCCTCTCTGTCGCTCACCCTCTTCCTTCCTCTACCCCTCCACTCTCTCCCTCCCTCCGTTTCTCTCTCTCTGGTGCTGCTTATATGCACTGTCCTCACCTCTCGTGCATTCTCTAGTAGAATCCCACTTTCTGGACCTGTGTCCTGACCCCACCACACCTGGCTGTGTGGCCCTGGGCAAGTAGCTTAATCTCTTCCTGTCTCAGCTTCCTTATCTGTAAGTTGGGTGTGATGATAGTATCGACTTCATAGGGGTCTAGAGCTTCAATGAACTGAACTATGTAAAGAGTATAGAACAGGGCCTGGCCCACAGAAAGCGCTTCGTACATTCTAGTTACAATTACTGTTACAGGAACCTTGTTATTATCCCCATTTTACAAATGAGGAAACAGACCCAGAGAGGTTAACTTCTTGCCCAAACTCATTCAGCTAATTAGTGACCAGATTGGAGTTCAAGCTCAGTCTGTCTGACTCCAAAGCCTATGATTTAACTTTTATTAATCATAGATGGAGAGCTGCAGAAGCTTTGTGTGTTGGCCTCCCTAACTCAGCTGACACAGGAACCCCAGATAGGCATTGCCGTGGGAATAGGCTTCTACACTGATGCCGAGGGCCGTGGTGTTATCGGTGATAGTACAGGTCTCCTGGTATATAGCTGGCTGCCCTATGTACATAAGGCAAGCGGAAAGATCTAGAAACCAGTGCTTCCCAACTTTTAGCATCTGCTGATTGGAAAAAAAAAGTTAGAACAATCTTAAAACAAATTTGAAGTCAGAGACTTTTTTTTTAGATTTACTTTCCTTCTGATTTGATTAGAGATGTGACATAAGAGTGCTATAAAGAATTAGACATTATAGAAATAAGGTGCTGCCTCCCAGAGAGAACCGCTGGAATTTATCATTATTGTGGTATCAGAAGCATTACTCAATATATTGGTATTTTAATAGTCGCAGTAGCACCGTGCATTTGGAAATTGTAATACGTATATGTATAACATCCACTGTGAGATGCTTTATGAGAAAATACTCACCGAAAATGGGGTTCTGCAGACACCTTGAAATAACTCAGAAGCCCCAAGAGTGACTAGTCTAGACTTTTTGGAATCAATGCAGAAATGCATTTGAAAGTGTAAGTGAGCTCCTCCTCTTCTCCTCGAGTCAGGTAAGCTAGGGCAGAGGGCGCCCCATTTTAGGCTCCAGGCCAGCAGCTCAGGAGCTGGGCGCGCCGTGCGGTGTGCCCTTTAGGGCGGGCCCAGGTTCCCAGAGTCCCAGCTCCCCACTGAGCATGCGCAGCACCCAGCACACAGCAGCTCGCTCCACCCAGGGTAGCAGCCACGAGCT